ATTGACTGTGTTTGCATCAGAACATATTCCCATAAATATAGTAGAAACTGTGGAAGCATCAGCATTCTACAGACAATATCTGGGCTCAACACTGTTAGGGATACCCATAGGGAATGAAGAAAGACTGCTTCACTGGCCAATTTTGAAGCCTAAAGACATGCGATCATTAGGCACTGGGCAGCGCCAGAGTTGTGCTGATATTGTGCTTTCATCAGCTGGTAAATATATCAATGATATATTCAAAAGATATCATTGGTGTTTATATTGTGTGATTTGTCATATGATCTGTACAGCAGAATGAAATTTCATTTAAAAAGCTATAACTATTCTCTTTTTTCAGGATGGATTGCAGTAACAGGATACAGAAATCATGTGATAGAACTGAGAGGCTGGACACCCGGAGGACGAGGAATACACTTGAGAGAACCGTCCATGCTTCCACTAGCTGTCAATCTCAAGGGTGATCGAATAGGAAAGTCGCCTGCTTATAAGCCACACAAATTATATGTTTCAAAATAGAGTGAGAATTATAAACAAATAACTAATTAAAGTAGTAAATTCAGATTATATAGTAATATGTTTTACTTGCTGGCACTTCACCCCTTTTTATACTTATGCTTCTTTATTTCTTCCTTTCTTTCTTTTGTTCTTTTTTTTTTTCTAAATTCTGCACATAGATGGCTCTGGAAGTGCTTAGCCACAAAGGAGTCAATTAGTAGACCCTGTGACTACCTGATTTCACCTTTCCTTGAATTTGCGGGGAAAACTTTTTTTTCTTACTTATGCTATGAATACCAATTTTGTTATTTTTTTATTACAGACATTATAATCACTATAATGTTATTGACATTAGCAACAGCAATGTAAGATATCGTCAAATATTTTTAAAAATCAAGGAAAAGGGTAAACAGACGAGACGGGCAGTTTCGCTCATTAAACTATGTGTCAACACAATAAAGTAAACTCAGCGAGCATGGCATGTACAGTTGCAGAATTACATTTCAGTAAACTTCTGTACATTTGGCAGCTACTTCGATGTAAACATAGCATAAATAGTATTTTTATGAATGAGGCAAAACCCCTAGACTATTTTTAACAAAGAGTGTTATTTATAGAATATAAATGACCAATAAGTGTATTAGTTTCTATTTTTGGAAACTACATTTGCCATATCATTCGTTTTCTTCACATAAATGATAAAATATTTAGTATTAGTTATCACTGACTTTGTAGTGAGATGTTTTTTCAAATGCGATTTCCTGTGTTTGTTTATCGAAATGGCAATACTTAAGGAAATGAGACGGCATTTCCCCCTTCTTTCAACACAGCAAGTATCAATTATTGTTGAATATTTCTTGAAAATGCTTCATGCTTGAAAAATCTATGTATGGCAGCTGTATCAAATAAAATTCTTCAAATTTGCAGATACCTTTCTAAATGTCTAAATTTGTGCCAGTCCTGAACGGCCTGAGGGAGCCATGGGCACGGTATTCCCATTTTAGTTTTCTAGCCCTTACCCCTCAATAATTATGAAGATGTAATCCCACTATTAGGGGCAATAAGGCTTGCCCCTTCATCAAATAGCCCCAATAACTCAAACTCACCCGATTCCCTGACCCCAGGCTCTCCTTTGACCATGGCTCTGAACACTACAACAACTACCTCCTCCTCAATGCTTACTAGTATAGTATCCACCCTAGTCAACACTCAACCTCCAGGAGACATTTCTACTCTCCCAACATGCTCAATTTCAACACCTCTACCCCCACAATCTTCTTCATCAACTACCCCATCCTCCCTTATTAATACTTTACAGCCTTATTGCCCACCTCTCCATAACAGTCTGAGGTAGCAACTCTCAGATTCAGACTTGGACTCACTCTACGTAAAGTCAGACAGGAAACACGTCAACGAGGTTTTTCTCTTACTCCCTACTGCAGTAAAGTCGCTCACTCTGCTACTCCCCCTACCTCCCAATCTCCTACACCCTCTCCTGAACCTACCCCCCCTCCATCTAACTTCCCCTCTTCTACCTCCTACCTTCCCCGGTCAAATTCTTTTGCCATCCTAAATCCAGCCCCAACACCCTCCCCGCACTACCCGCAGCAGACAGACTAAACGTTCCACCCCCTCTCCCCCTACCACACAATCACCTCCACCTTCCTTTGCCCCTACACTTCAGAGACCAGTCCCCCCCAATCCCTTGCCCGTTGTTGTCGTGGGGGGGCTTAGGAGGCGGAGACTAGGACCCAATGATGGGGAACTCCCAACCTTGGGACTCAGCCCTCGACTCAACTAATTTTGCATGGTCTTTTTTTTCCCTTTCCCACTTTTGTTTCTGTCCCTTCACCAAACCCTTCTGCTATCCACCTCCTAAGGTGTGAGAGCCGTGCTGAAAAGGATGAAAGGCTACTCAACCTCCAGGAGACATTTCGACTCTCCCAAACATGCTCCATTTTCAACACCTCTACCCCCACAATCTTCTTCATCACTACCCCATCCTCCCTTATTAATACTTTACAGCCCTATAGTGCCCACCTCTCCATAACAGTCCTGAGGTAGCAACTCCTCAGATTCAGACTTGGACTCACTCCTACGAAAGTCAGACAGAAAACACGTCGACGAGGTTTTTCTCTTACTCCCTACTCCAGTAAGTCGCTCACTCTGCTACTCCCCCTACCTCCCAATCTCCTACACCCTCTCCTGAACCTACCCCCCCTCCATCTAACTTCCCTCTTCTACCTCCTACCTTCCCCGGTCAAATTCTTTTGCCATCCTAAATCCAGCCCCAACACCCTCCCCGTACTATCCGCAACAGACAAAATAAACGTTCCACCCCCTTTTCCCCTACCACACAATCACCTCCACCTTCCTTTGCCCCTACTCTTCAGACACCAGTCCCCCCCCCAATCCCTTGCCCGTTGTTGTCGTGGGGGGGCTTAGGAGGCGGAGACTGGGACCCAATGATGGGGAACTCCCCAACCTTGGGACTCAGCCTTCGACTCAACTAATTATGCATGGTCTTTTTTTTTCCCTTCCCACTTTTGTTTCTGTCCCTTCACCAAACCCTTCTGCTATCCACCTCCTAAGGTGTGAGAGCCGTGCTGAAAGGATGAAAGGCTGACTTTGTGCCAGTCCTGAACGGCCTGAGGGAGCCATGGGCACGGTATTCCCCTGATTTTAGTTATCTAGCCCTTACCCCTCAAGGGGACCCTGAGGGGTGGACTGTTTTTATCCCCAACATAATCCAGGCTTACCATGGCCAGTAATGAAAATATATCCCCACTGTTAGGGGCTATGAGGCTTGCCCCTTTATCAAATAGCCCCAACGAAGTAAACCCACCCGATTCCCTGACCCCAGGCTCTCCTTTGACCACAGCTCCGAACACTGCAATAACTACCCCTTCATCAATGCCTACTAGTACAGTAGCCAGCAATCAACCCTCAAGGAACATTTCCACTCTCCCAGCATGCTCAACTTCAACACCTCTACCCCCACAACCTCCAACATCAACCACCCCATCCTCCCTTATTAATACCTTACAGCCTTATTACCCACCTCTCCATAACACTACTTCCCCCAACACTACTCCATCTTCGTCACGCCCCCGCCCTTCTACCACCCCTATCTCTAAAACAATCTTGAATACTCTCTTTAGTGCAGCCAAATGGGACCGATTTTTCGTGGCCGACCCGACCGCTCCCGTCTTGTCACAGTAACATCCGAAAACCAAGCTATAGCATTAACAAAACTAACTGACCTATATGGTAACCCCATCCTTGCAGAACCCCATCCAGCCCTCAATACTTGCACCAGAACAGTCTCAATCTCCCCAGCAAATTGCCCAATCTATGACAAAGATTGGTCAGATTGTGGAGAAGATCTACTTGCCTGTCTCACAGACTACGATGCAACATCAGTACAATGCTACTCCATTCCCCCCAGAGGTCATCGAAAGAAACCCACTAACATAGCCAAAATTACCTTCCGTAGACATGACCTTCCCTTTAACGTCTACATAGGGGGAGAATCTCTCTCTGTTCGTCCATACCAACCTCCTCCACGTCAGTGCCAAAATTGTTGGCGTCTAGGACACCCAGCCAAACATTGCCGTTCCACAGCCAGATGCCCACTATGTGCCCAACCTGGCCATACCCGATCTAACTGCTCTGCACAATCACGCACATGTGCCAACTGTGGCCGCCCCCATAATGTATTTTATAGGGGCTGTCCCACCTACAAATTTGAATCTGAGGTAGCAACTCTCAGATTCAAACTTGGACTCACACTACGTGAAGCCAGGCAGGAAGCACGTCGACGTGGATTCTCTCTTACTCCTTACTCCAGTAATACTGCTCATTCTAACACTTCTCCTAAACCCACCCCTCCTACATCTAACTCCCCCACTTCTACCTCCTACCTTCCCCAATCAAACTCTTTTGCCATCCTAAATCCAGACACTCCAATCTCTACTACAGATACTCCAATCACCACTACAACCCCAACACCTTCCCCTCTCCCTCCTCGCACTACCCGTAACAGACAGAACAAACGTTCCACCCCCTCTTCCCCTACCACACAATCACCCCCACCATCCTTTGCCCGTACTCTTGAGACACCAGTCCTCTCTTCCCCCCCTCACAAGAAATCCTTTATCCCCCAAAACTCCCCAACCAACTCCACAGAAGAAACTATTGAAAATATTCAAGATTACTTAATGAAAACTGACACTCAACCTACAACTCCTGCTCCTTCCACACTCCAAGTAATTGCTGATATCCATCCTCCTCCTAACGATATCCCCCCTACACCCTATCCTCCTACCCCCTCCCAACACAGCCCATCCCCCCTGACCCCAACCCCGCCCACATTAACCCTCCCACCATCCCCTCTATCCCTTCCACTCCCTCTTGGATACACACGTGAATCCCTTATGTCACAAGTATCCCCTTCCTCAGACCCTCCATCTCCTAACACCCCTCCTGATAGAACACCAACTCCCACACCTCTCCCATCTCAAACCTCTCAGTCCTTATCCCACCCTCTAGCTGCTTCCCCTTCAAATTCTCCAACACGTACTACAATATATAAATCAACGAAAGTATAACTATCCTTCATTGGAATATTCGCGGTTTCCGCTCCCACAGACCTGACCTTCGTCATATCCTTTCCTCTTATAACCCATCTATTGTATGCCTTCAAGAAACCTTTCTTATACATATCCTTTATCTAATCTAACACCCGACCTTAACCCTTTCACTCACTAATTCCTTTGCCCAGCTTAGACAACTACTCACTAACTCAACCACCCTTCACTAACATTAACTATAGTGCTACATG